TTTTTGTCAACTAAAAATAACAATCAACTTAGCAAGTTTAAGGAAAAAATGAATGGTGGTCATCAGTGAACTTTAGGATGAACGTTTCGTTGTATTTAGGAACTGTCGGCTGGATACACTAACAAGAGAGAGTTGGTGTTTACCTCGGGACTCGAACCCAGTGTCGTTCACTTTAAACACTATCCCATTATTCACCCTACAGCCATTGACTTGTGCAATGGGATGAAATATAATTTATCCAATCAGTACAAATAAATTGGCAAATAAATTCATGTCAAAAATTGACCAGTCAACGTATTGACAGTTGTAATGAATACTATTTACAAAATTTGATAAACTTTAAATATGTTTCACTAAATCAAGTTGTTATTGTTGAACAACGGAATTGTCAAAATGAATTTTCAAATAATTAAAATCAAAACACAAATAAATGATTACTTTTACATAGAATTAGGATGAATGACTGTGACATAGTGATTAAATTGAAATATGGAATTTGGTAATTACATCATGTAAAGTACAAGAAAATATTATTATAAATAGCTTAAAATTCGAAGTGACAACAAGCCTGTCTGTGTTGGGGATGTTAGATCCCCAGAACTCGCTTCATAAATATCTTTATTTTGGATTTATTTCATGGACCGATCAGTTGACCTTGAGATCACATTTCCCACCAGGAGAATCCTTGGCTGTGATTGGTTACTATGTCATTTTAGTGTGCTATTTTGTGACTGTCCCAAGGACGTCTCTATAGAGTATAAATAAACGCAATTTGAGTACTTGGATTCATTGTGTGCTGGTTGTGTGTTTGTAGAATACACTTTCTACGCTATATCAAGACTTCTTACTGATTCAATTTGGTCAAGCGATCACAGTAGCCTAACTGGACACTTGGTTCATTGTTTGTTCTCGTTATTCGTCTAAGGTGAACTCATAATAGTTTAAGCATACCTAGAAACGAGCGTAACAGTCTCCAGCATTCCTCAGTTTGTGTATGAACAAATATGATGAAGAACTTAGCAAGGTACCGTATGGTTTTTTATTTGATTAGATCAACAAAGGTAAATGCTTAATTGACTGGTGTTGATAAACAGTGCGATAAATAACTATTTAAAATATTCTGAAACTGATCATAATAAATACTGATTTATGAAACTGGAAATTATTCGTTCGCCTCAGAAATGTCGATAAGTGCAGCTTTATTGTTCGCGATCAGTGCATTATTACCATTCTATAGATAATATATGGTTGAATAAGGGATTGTAGTGGTGCAGTCAAATTTATTTGCTGTATTCTTACAGACCATTAGTTTAGTATCATTTCATGCTAGTTACTTTTAGAACCATATTTCTGACGTTTAACTTTCCAGTGTAATTGATATCTTATCTATCCTATTATGCTTTACATCTTGTTGACTACCTCTTTAATTGTCTTCAGATTGCTTATCAAGGCTAACTGATTCATTTATATCTAGTTGATCATACATACATACAGTTAAGCATATCTTATATTCTTAATTTGAATGTAATTTAAACAATAAAGTATAGAATTTTGAACTTGATTTTAATGTACAGTCATCATATGAGAGGTTTGGAGACTACGAGCTCATAACGCCTATGACATTTTTCACATTCGTTTAAAACATAAGTACCGTGTTAAAAAACTTGTTAATACCTAATATTAAATTAAAAATAGTCTATTCATAATACTGTTAATATTGGAATGTTGAAAATCAACAAGCAAATTAATAGTCTAAGAAATTTAAACAAATTCTCTATGGTTACTATCTAGTTTCATCGTACATTGATCAAACAATAATGTGGTTACATTAGTAATTTGTAAATGATCAATCAGAAAAAAAGTTGCCACAAAATTTCTCTGATATTATTTGAAAGATTTTGTTGGAAACAAACTTATAATTTTCAACTTTTTTTTAAGTACTTCTTTACTGGTAGGTTAACTTTTTGACAGTATTTACAATATTAAATTCAATTTTTAAACGCAATAAAATGAAACAAAGTCATACGGTTAGTTTATTTATGAATTGTTGAACTATGTCAATTAACTAGAAACAAAGTTCTTTGAATAATGTAAACTTCAATTTGCTATTTTTTAATTACACTGAATTTGATCTCATTGTATAATTTGGATGAATTTCAAAACTAGTAATTATCAGCCTTTAATGAACAAGAATTCTGTGATTTAAAACTATAAACTGAAAACAATACTCATTGATTTTCGAAAATATATCAAGCAATTTCAAATTAAATGTCCATCTTTTAGGTCAAAACAATGAAACATGACAGAGAAGATTTTGTTTTACTTACAAAGAACGATATTGATAAATTTATATAACAGAAAGATTAGCATTCAAACAAATTAGGAGCCAATCAATTGTTTATGCATACAGATGGTATAAACCATGTTTAGACGGTTGTGAACATTAGAGATTAAGTCACCTCATTAATCATATTTAATTTGTTAAGTGATTATTAGTTCAACTCGAAGATAATAAATAGATGAAAAATGAAAACATTAAAAACTAAAGATTATTGGACAGTTGGTTTTATCTAAATTACAAACTAATCAACAGTGTATAGAAACAACTTCAAGTCTAAGAATTTCACATTTGACGATAGCACGTATATATTGCTTTCAAATCAATGACTTAATTTCTATTATCAACTTTATTCAGCGAGTGCATGACATGCTGTGACAATCCAATCCAATCTTGTTGATAGATAACTGCTTCATAGTTTTTAGTCAATCGCTAGCTGATACATTAGCCATTGACGAAAATTAAAGCTAACAATCATGTGTTAGTGTGGAGAACTGGAATATCAATCGAGAAAACAGTGCTTAAAAAGTGATTGTTGGGGAATAAAGTAAAGATTGAAGAGAGGAAAAGTGTCCATTTTTATAGTCGACATGGTCGTAATCAAATTTCGGGAGCCTTAAAAAAAGACTTTTCAAGACAAGTTATCGAATGAATTATTTCTGTCCATTTATTATTTATTTACACTATAATATATTTAGTGGATTAATGTGAATAACCGTAACCTAATTTAGCATCTCAATGTATGGTGTTTTATATCGATCTAGTTATGAATATCAATCACATACGGAATGATTGCTTTCCTTAAGCTTTATTTTCATGATCTTATTGAACTGATTGAACCTTGAAAGTTAAAATTAGATTAAACATTGATACCTTACTTTAAGAGTTCACCTGTGGTATACAGTAATGGTCATTTAACAGATATATAGTGCAATAAGCCGGTGAAATTAAACCAAAAGCATATTTCTACTGTACAAAAATTTATATAACACTTTGTCATTATATTAACTGGTTTATTAATAGATACGAGAAACTTTACCTAGAGGTGTGTCGTCATCGAGATGTCTTAACTATAAATCAATTAAATCATATTATATATACTTATATATGAAAACAATTTTCTTGAAAATTCAGTCAACACTTATTGATCTGCGTAAGTGTTCATTATCTCAAATTGGAATTCACAGTTAAAACATTTTTTTTAAACACTATGATGCCATCTGTCAGCGAGATGCAAAGAAATAAGTTCTTGCAGATTTGACAACTATGAGTTTCAGATTTCGTGAGTGGAGTGTATTCGACGGTAGTTTAGGCTTTACCATCTGCTAAGTCTTACTTCATCCAAAATGATTAACATCTCTAATTATATATATAAATAAATTTATATAATGACATTAGGAAATGTTTTTAAATAAACGGATAAACGAGGAAACATGCTGTTACCGAGAGAAACTCTTGATCAACGTTTAACTCTGAAACTCATAAAAAGTCGAAAATAAACAGAATTATTATTATTACTATTATTATTATTATTATGATTATTACTTATCGCATTCTCACTAATCTACTTCATTTGAATCTCAGATAATCTCAAAAATCACATCAATCGTAGAAAGCTAAATATTGATATTATAAGTGTAACATATTGCTTATCTAGTCTAATGTTCATTTACATAAAAAAAAGTTGAAATGGTACTTACTTACTATTTATTCCTAGTTCATAACAGAC